AGCCCCGTTCTCACCGCGGGAGGGCGGCAGGACCCGCGGAGCCGCCGCCGCCGTTCCCATGACGACCGTCCCCGCGGGGTCTCGCGATAGCGGCACGTCCGCACTGCCCGGGCGGTGCCGTTGGTGGCGGCCGGGCCGCTCCCGCGGCCTCGCCGTCCTTGCCAGGGATGCGGGCACGACTGAGCTGTCCCGCAGGGAGCCGCGCTGGAGCTCTGCCCACTCCGCCCTGACAGAGAGAAGTGCTGCTTGAAGGGCGCCCTTCCCCTCCTCATGTCCCCCCGCAGGGCTGTGCCGGGCCCGTTTGAGCTACAGAAAAGTTACTGTACTGACCTTTCTAAACAGTGTCTTTCTGCTGTGAATTATTATTGCTTCTTTTGCTAGTCTTGTTTGTCTAGGCTCCTGCATTGTGTCAGGTTTATTTGTCAACAAGGATAGGTGAATCACTTTAAAATAAACGTTAAAATTATTACTGTGGTCACCATTTTTTACTTGAATATTCACTGTTAGTAAGGAATCTGATTAATAAAGGAGTGTAATTGGCTTCCTAATCCCATCCCTTTTCATATCTTTTCTGCATTTAAACAATATGAGAGGGTTAATTCATGTGTTCTGATTAACTTGCAAAATTACTGGCTCCTACAACTAACTCTGATACTCGGGTACGTCAAAGCGGGTTTTCACTGGCAGCAAAAATTTACAGGAAACAGTTCAAAAAAACTAAGTGAATCTCATTCAAAGTAATAGAGTTTCCATTGATGCTTATAGTATGGCATTTTACTGTCAGTTTTGCCAATAAGAGAGCACTTTGTTCCTTCTATTTAGTGTCATAACAATGCAATGTGGTTTACAGTTAACTGAAGACAAACACAAGAAATGCACTAGTGAACTCTCTCTGTTTTAGCCTCCTTCCTAAGCTCTGGGTATGTTAAAATTCTAACTTAAGTCTTGCAATTGCTAATGCAATACCACAGTGGTGTTAGGAACCTGTGGTGTTTTCCAGATGGTGCAGAGGATGATTTGAAGCAAAAAATAGAAGAATTAACATTTACATCTGCATTTAAGGTATTTAAGTATTCAAGGCCAGTAATGGCAATGAGAAAGCAGTAAAATGGATAATATAATTCAGAACTGGCTAAACTAAAATCTGGCATTTGCTGTATTAGGAATTAAATTAGCTATGAATAATGAGGTAAGCAGCTAGGTATAACTGCCCCAGTATTTATTTCTTTCTACAGTGCAGTGTATATACTTAACAGCTGACAGAATTTGACTTGCTATCAGCTTCCCTATTAGAGACTGCCTAAAACCTCAGAAAAGTCCATGAAAGGAGAACATCCAGCTCCGAATCTGGTAAAAAACAGACATAAAACTCCTTTGAAAGTGGTACAGGAATAGGCTCCTTACTGCTGCTTGTCATATGGAATCAGTGAAGGTTTTCTATGAGGCTGTCACACCTGAGAGTGAGTAATAATGGTTTGGCAGGGATATCTCAAACTGCAGTTGAACTTATGATTTATGAGTGTTACATGTCCTATTAGACTTGGAGAGGAAAAGAAGAGATTCACAGAGTTCATCTCAAATCCTCTAGATCAGGTTATAAGAGTCTTCCAGTCCAATAAGAGGACTGAACTTTGTAAGCATCATTAAATATTACAGAATCTCAAATATTGTTATAGGTGGCAGGTGTACTTATATTGAAACTTGAACTAGATGAGCAGAACCAAAGGTGTGATTTTTTTTTTTTTGTCTTTCCAGGAACAGGTCAGTTTTATTCCAAGCTAAAGTAGATACTTCTCAGAAGTATGATGATTAAAAAAATAAAAAAGGCTTAGAATGGAAAAAACTCTTACGTCTAGGAAGGGCACAGCAAGAAAAGTACTCCAAGATGTACCTTTCATCCTAAAAGATAGGAAGTCACATTTAGACAAGCTGTCTTGATACTTAGAACACAGTCACCGTAGTAACAGAATTCATTTATTGCTTTCTTCCTAATCCAATCAAAAAGAAGCACAAATGAGAGGAGGAATATAGGGAACTTGTTCCCAATTGCTACTGCTTATCTCCATACTCCTCTGCTCAAAAGCATTTTAATACACAAAAAAGTAGCCAAGACACTTTCATTGTCTCATACATGTTGGAGAAAAAATTACCAAGACTTTGTTTAAGGCTCATTAGTTATTTATCTTTGATTATTTTTAATATCCTTTTGTGTACTCACCTGAACTACCTTTTATTTACCAAAGGTAATATTTTTAAGGTAGGCTGTAGCAGTGCTAGTACTCAGCTCAGGACAAGCACAACTAATATTCACTATATTAATTCCTCTAAATGTTAGGGCAATAAACAGACCCTTTTCCTTCAAAGGACAAATAGATTATGTATTGACATCTTTTGACTGGCATGTGCCAAGTCAAGGGCAAAGAGCCAGAAATTTTGGTCATATTCCAACTTTTTCTAGAAACCCTCAGTGAGGAGGAGTAGAGTTCTGCAGAGTGCTCCATCAGCTATAGTGATACAGCGCGGTCACCTGTCAGCTGACAAAGACAGGCCAAACTAAAATGCAAAGTCCAGAGTCAATGGTAAAACTTCCATTTTGTTTAATAAAGCCAGGTTTTCATTCTTTGACTTGTACTGCAAAGTTTGTGCCTTGACAAAGCTCTTTCATGTTGCCCCACCTGCTACAGGACAACAGGAGAGCATAGGAAGCAGGAGCTCAAGATGGATTGTGTTGTGCTGAAATTTCTCATGCCACGGCGTGCAGTGTGTTGGGAGTTTGCTACCAGACAGGCACAAGGGAAACCAAACAATGTGATCCTGCAAGTGTCTCAGGACCTTCTTGTGCAGCTTAGGATGTGATCCAGGCAAAAAGTAGACGGTTTAGTTTTACAGAAAATGGAGGCAAAGAAGCTATAATACTCCTTAGTCAAGCAGTGTGCACAAAGGAATTTCTGGAGTAAATCAGCATTTCAGTGCATTATACTTAGCCACAGAGAACCTTGTGATGAAGAACAGCTGTTAGAGAAACCCTGTTTTGCATTAACAAATGTATATTCAGGAATTGGATCTCACTTGATAATTCTTATGCTTGCTTTAAAAAACAGTCCGCTTTCTCACAGAGAATAAACAACAGAACTTTCTCCTCACAGGGAAGAACAACAGAAACTGCAGAACTCTGCTATGTGCTTGCAGAGAGCCTTTCACAGACGTAAGAATGCTTCTGCATGCCACTCATATTATCCCTGAAGAAACCATACAGAAAAATCAGCTTGTGTGTACCCTTCACCACCTTTGGTTAGTTTAGCAGACTTAAAACAGATGTAGAACAAAGACCATTTGGGGCCGGTTCCTGCTGTTCCCCTTCTGTGTCCTCCAAGGACACCAGGGAGGGGAGGAATCAACCTGCTTATGAGTGCAAGCATCTGCATCTGGAGTTCTGCAGCTTTCCACAAGATGTGTCATGTTTTGTTGTTTTTCTAAACTGTCTTTGAATTATAAATCACTCAAGATTGCAGTAACTAACCTTGTGGTCCCAGTTTGATAGTTAAAAACATCATTATGACTAGTTTAGAAATCCTGCTAATATCCCTGTTTTGCACAGAGAAAGTTGCTCCAACTAAAATAAGAAAGAGTCGTCTTTTGAAAAGGTAAGGAAGTTTTAAGTCTGAAGGCAGGACTTCAGCCATATCTTTTGGAGGAGGGAGGGTGAGTCCTTCAAGGCCCAAAAAAATAAACCCATTGATTATATCATACTGACATAATGCACTGACTTCTATGTGGGTTAAAGCACATTTACACAGTAACTTATGTCAAGTAAGATTAGAAGGCAAGGATTTTGCTTTTTTAATGTTTACATTCTTTATCAAATTATGCAGTGCAAAGTCAGGTGACATGAACAAGAGGAACAACTTGAGTTCTGTGCGGCATGTAATCATGTCCATAGTTATTGTCATAACAACTTATAGGGCAGATTCTTTTTAGTTGGAACCAGCTTCTAAGTCCCCATCAACTGATCTGGAGAAACATCCTGACTTTCCTCTTTGTTCTTCAACTTATAGTCTTACTTATGCAGTAATTATTATCCCAGGAAACAGGGAGCAGAATAGAAGAAAACTCATTACAGAAATATAGCCATCCTTTTCTGGAAAACATTACCTATGGGTGTATTTTTAAAACCAGAACAACTGTGTTCATTAAATTATTGCAGTTTAGTAACAATTAGATCTGTTCTACAGTAGAATACTTGTAGAGTTTCTAAAAGACTGCTTTTCTGTGGAAGGTTTTCCCATTGTGCAAAATAAACTGCTCTCAAGTATTCAACCAACATAGCATTATTTAGTATTGAAGGACTGTGTTGTTTTTTTGTTGGGTTTGGGGGTTTTATATTATTTTTACATGATGTTTGAATTTTAACAGTATTTCTTAAGGATATCTCAGAATAGTAAATTGACATTGTCCCCATACTCTTTTCATCCTTTTTAAACTATTTTTTCTTTTGTTTAATATGTGCTCTATTTCCCCCCTCTAAGTGGTAGAATAATGAGTTTTAACTTTATTTTCTCCAGGTTTATTCTTGTGTAGTAAGATTTAGCCTTTAAATCTATTTGCACAGGCCAAAGTACACCAGGCTTTCTCTTCATAAATTCCCACAGCTTTGCTTTGTACTTCACTTTTGTTCTTGTGAGACACTGGATATTAATTATATATTTAAATAACTTTTTATTGACAAAAAAAAAATACATGCTGTGGTACTTTTCCACCTCTGCCACAGAAGGACCACTTTTTTCTGGAATCTTTCTTCTGTCTGATTTCAGGCAAGCTATATCTACTGTCCCATATCTGGACCCCTTAAAGTCTGCTCCTTACTCCCAAGCTGAGAAGCTCTTGAACTAGCAAAAAGTGAAGTGCACTGAAACCAAAGAGGAAATGGAGAAAAACTTATTTTACACATACACACTTTTCTTTAAATATATTTTTATTAAAACATTTGCTTTTAATGCCTTGTAGAAATCCACCACCTTGGAATCATCAGAAGCTGGTGACTTTCTTCAAATATGTCAAAGGAAGAAAGGGTACATCTCCAAATTCTGCTTCAGCAGAATTTTCTGTCACTTTTAAGATTACCTGGTTGGATTTAGTAAGTTACTGTGAACTTGTCAAGATTCTTCACCTTGTCCTGTTAAAAGTATGCTTTAAAGAAAACTACTTTCATAAACAGACAGTAACCACAGAAAACGGTTCAGCATGCAGCAAAGGGCTAAAGTACAGGAAAACCACAAGGAATAAACAGATATTGTAAGACTATGCTTTTAAGAAACTACCCAGAGAGACAACAGTGAATGCAGATGAAAGACTATTTGCAACTGAACAAGGATTAAAATGTCAGGGTTACAATACTTTTAGGTCACCTAACAGACAGATATAATTTAAAGTTCACATTCATTATAAACAAGACAATATGCCTGTGGTTATGAAGAGGGGCAAGCTGCATCACAATGCCTGAGTTCTCACAGAAAGGCTGGTGTGCTGATGGCATGACTGTGGCTCACTCAGGAATCAGGCACCAGATTTGAAAGTCTCATGTTCATACACTGGGTGATCTACTCCGTGAGATGAGTGGAGCAGGATGGTTGGTATCTGTACCTGTGAAGGTAGAAGAAAAACCTCTCTACCTCTGTCAATTGTGAGAAACTGCATTAATAAACCTTTGCCTTTAGAGGTCTGTTACCAGCTTCTTCACTCACCAGTTCAGTTGTCACTGAGAAACTAAGATTGTCACACTCAGAGAAAGGCTACTAGCATTTCAAACGCATTTCTTTCATTTGCTGGCTTTCCCATAAGAAAACAGCAGAGTGCATCAGCAGGTAAGTTTAAGGTTTGTGCCTTTGTTACTTACACAATGGATACATTACACTGTTGGAACATTTGTATATGCCCTTTATTACAGGATCAAAGTGTTCTATTTATGCCCTTGGCACATACATACTTGTTTATTGGAGTCAGGATTTGTCCTGCATGATCTCCAATCCAGTTTTTATTTAAAACTACAAGAATATATCTGGGGTCTTTACAAAAAAGGTCTTTCTCAGGTTTCACACACGTGATGATTTGGGTATCCTTGGCTTTGTGGAAGTTTTATGCCAGAAAACAGTGGTTTAGGTTTTTAAAAACTTTAGATGTTCGGCAGATGCTTAGTAACTAATTTGTGCAAAAAAATCCAGTAAGCTTTAACACTGATTGAATAAATGGGCTTAACAGAAAACAAATGCACTTATAGTCCCTTTTACTTCATTAATGAAATATGCAGAATCTTGCTATGTCTATTTGCACCAGAGTAGGAACTACCCATGTTGTATGTCTTCTGCTCTCTACAGCCTTTCCTATTAAGTTACTTTGATACCCAGTCCATTTTAATACAACATGAGATTTCCCAGAAAACTGACTGATGTATTTCCATAATTCAGCCATACAGAGTTCCCAAAGCCATATATACTTTTTGAAATTTAATCAGACAGGTATCATTGTAAGGATTTCAGAGATAAAATTTAAGAATTTCCATATTTTGATATATTATTTTCATGAAATATTTCATATTAATAAGGAACACTTGTATATATATACATTTTCCTTTTGTTTGTTCATTTAAATTATATTTGGCACAAGAAAAAAATCAGCCTGAAACAAATTTCAACATAATAAAGATCCATGGGATCACATATATAATAGAAAGTGACCTTCCTCTGTCACTTCAAGCTCCTGCTCTTACTAAGAATCCACCTTGGGAAAGATACTGACTTTATTGTTTCTGCTGACCTTTCTCTCTGCTTTACACTTGGGCTGTTTTGTCTGGATTAGCTCTTCAGGGGTATTCCCCAAAGGGGGCAGGAGTCGCTTCTTACTGTTTCGGTTTTCTGAGAGCCACTGTGGAGGCAACTCAAAGGGTCCAAAACCAAACTGCATGGAATACTTGTCATTTATCGGATCAGCTTCTGTGGGCACAGCTGGGGCCACCTGAGCTGCAGAGTCTGCAACTGTCTGTGAACCAAAGTCTGTCCTATCTCTAAACTGGTGGTAGGAATTTCTTTCTGCTGCAAGTCACCAGAGCCAATGGATTTGGTCTCATTCTCCTCATCTTCCATTGGCTTGAAGATTTGTTGTTGCCCGATATGAAACATCTCCAGAAGCTGGCTTCCCGAATGCACATTGGGCTCCAGATTATCATCCACAACACCACCTGAGCTGACAATGTTTCTCCTGCTAAACCTTCGGTGCAGCTGTACTATTGTCCCCACTAAGCACTTCCGTACTGATTTGTTAACAGTTAAAAATAACAAAGGGTTGGCCAGCAAAGAGACCTTGGGCAACCAAATGGCAGTGAGGAGCAAGAAGACTGAAATATCTGAAATATTGAGTATGGTGCGATAAATCACCAAAGTCACATACGGGACGCTGCAGAAAATAAAGATCATAACCATAGAAAGCAGCATGACATGAAGTTCAGCTTCTCGCTGGGAGGCATATGGGATAGAAACTGTATTCTGAGGAGTCCTTAATGCAGCTATGATGACTTTTTTCTTCTGGCTGGCACTCAGTGCTCTGCGAATAAGAATCATAAAGAGAAATACCACAGCCACTGGTACAATCACAGTGGTGATGTTATAGATGATGACATATATCAGGTGGCCAAGGGAGTAACTCCAAGATTCAGAACAGGTGGACATGGCATAAATATCAAACACATTGGTCACAACAAATACTGGAATGCTGGCCACTATTGCATGGGCCCAGATATAGATAACCAGGTCTCGGGATTTTGCATCAGTTATTTTTCTTTCCAGAGGGTATAAAACAGAGTAGTATCTGTCAAAACAAAAATAAAATTATAATTGATACAATGCAAAGGGTGAAGTCTATAATGAGCATAGTCCTTTTGAAAAACTTCTCACAGGAGCTGTCTGAGCGTAACATCCCAAATACCTAACTGGGTTGTCAACTGAGTACCTGCTTATGAAAGAAAAAAAACCTCAGTGGTCTGCCTTTGCAGGTCTGTCTGTAGAAAAAAAATGAATATTGAAACTTCAGGATCACATTATTGGTAGTGAACAATTCTTTCAATAACTGAGACTACATCACTTTGGCTGATGCATGTGACTATTATTTTGAAGATGTCATCATTTACTTGTAAACTAGAACAGTACATTGCACACAACTCAAAATTTCAAAAAACATGATGGGGGCACAGATATGTCACACTGAACAGTCAGACTCATAGTTAATTTTAAAAGCTGCTTTATGATAGATTTTTTTCTTTGGATATTTGGAAAAAGCTGTTGGTGACAAATTACATGTATCCATCTATTGGAAATACAGTGGTGTTTTGTTTTGCACAAGCTGTGGTCAGCAAGGCCCTGAGCACACTGAACATTCAGTGTGCATTTAAAAAAAAAGTGCATCTCTGACATGCACATCAAATTTCAGACACTGATTCATTGTTTGCTTACTACTGGACTATTGCTGTGGATTTTTAAGCTCACAGAGTTTTCATGACAGACCTAACTTTTCACACTTATTATTATAAGTGGTAGGAGTTTGTGCTTTTTGTGAGGAAAATCACAAGTTTTCTTGGTGAAGGGCAAACAATATGCTGTTCCACTGGCAACACTGGTGTGCACTATAGATAGTGACACTGCATTAACATGTAAGAGACATATCACTTTATTAGGTATACAGTTTGGTTTTGTAGAGTTAGCATATTCTGCAGTGAGACATGATAACAGACTTACAATAATTTTATCTAACATGTATAAGTTTACTATTTTAGTAACGTGTCCTTTATTAAACCAGTATCTACCCTTCCTTAAGAATATCTAACTTACAGTCACTGTCAAGCTGATAGAGCTGTGCATTTAGGTGGGATCAGTGACTGATAATAATTTGCAACATGAATGGCATCAAAAAACTTAGCCAGTCCAAAGGGTCACTTTTGTTTTAGACTGATCTACATACAAAAACTCTCTGAACTAATTCTGGTTGTATTAATTTTGTTTGTTTTTTTTAAAACAAATCTACATTTGAAATTTGACATTGATAGACAATCTACCTCCAGGCATTGGTAAATCCTTCTAACAGGCAAGGGCTTTCAATTTCCACAGATAAAAATGTGCACCTCGTCTACAGTCTGAAGTTGTCTGCTTTTAAATTCATTACTGACCAAGAATTATTAACAGGAAGAAAATATAAAAACTTCTCTGAAGACAAATCTGTAGTCTCAAACTCCTTTATAAATTTCCAGAGGTACCAGAGTAAACTGAAAACTAAAGATTTTCACTGTTACAAAAATATTTCTCCCAAAACATTCTAGAGAGAAACTGTACACTGCAAACAGAGCACCAGAACAAAAGCAAGACAATATGAAAGGGAGAAAAATATTTCAAAGGGAAAAAGAAGAAAGGGAAGTGCAGGATCATGGCAAATTTGCTCCCTTACCTGTCAAGAGCAATGGCTGGAAAACTAAGGATGGTCACTGAGCAGAAGACTTTGTGCAGAAACTTGGCAATTCTGCAGAAAAGCATCGTATAGATCCACCAGCAGCAGTGTGGACTGGCACTAAGAGCAATGTCAAAAGGCACACAGACTAGGCTGGCACAGATCCCCGAGCAGGCCAAATTCTTAATGAATCGGCTTGTTACAGATTTAAGTAGCGATGTTCTGCAAGTTGACCACAGCACCATGGTGTTACCTGTGAGTAGAGACAGGAAGCATAAACAAAGGAAAAATAACAGACAAACAAATAACTACCCCCAAACCCCAACAACAATAATCTTAACAGAATTTAATGTTCCCTAGTATAATGGCCAGTCTTCGCGAGCGAAGATTTGGGAAAGGTCATTGACCCTTCGAGCCTGCTCAGTGGATTTTTTAGGTGAGACACAGCGTGCGCTGAACTGAGCCCACCCTTTAATCCTGAGGTTCATCTGCCGGGGCC